ATATAGTAAGGGTGAAATTATGACCTCTATTTACTTTCCTATACTGTCACACGTATACTCATAACAGTATAAAAACACCTTAGCAACGTACATAACAGATCAAAAACATTTTACAAACTCAGTAATGTATCAGATTTTCCACCTATGAAAATAGTGCTTAGCTCTAATTGATAGTTTAACTATTGACAGGATGTTGGATTGTAACAAATTATGATTATTCTTAACAAATAAATGTTAAGAGTAAAATCAAAATATTTTACATCCCTGATAGAAAATTCTTGATCGTTTTAACAGATAATCTCATAGGTTTGGGTAGAGCGAAGATCCAATTTGCAAGTTTGGCATTGGAAACTGTAAAATTATCAGAAACGCTTCCCTAGGGACCGTTTCCGCTACAATTTCCGTCCCTTAAGGTTTGTATTTGGCTCATTTGCCCATTTAACCACTCCAAGCACCTTGGTAAAGGAAATTTCTAAATTGGACATAAGAACTTTAGGTTCAGTAGATTTTACTATGGCTTTAAACGTTCCTCTTTATGGATTAGCTGATGACAGTTTAAGATATTTTTTCTCTCCGGGTTTATAAAGAGGAATTTTCTTTATTTACTATTTGTATCTTGTTATGTAACCAACTGTACAGTTAAACTGCTGTGATAAAATATAATAGATTTTTTACAAAGTACTAAATATTATCTATTGCTAAAAATATACTATAATAACATAAATGTATTGTATGTAAACTTCTACTGTAAACTAAAAAAGAAAAATTTAGTCGACATCGGAACACTTAAAATTTTCCAACATAAAACATACAACAAAATCTGCTTCAAATTCTTCGTTGTAGGATGAAGCCAACATGCTACACAAAGTCAATAATTCTTTATGGTTATGGTTTATGGTGGGTTAATCTATTGCAGACGCTTAAAATTAGGCAATATTCTCGTATTTACATTATACTACACAAACAAATTAAAATCCATCTAAAATAAACGGTATCAGCAATCCGACACATACTTTCTCACATTAGCTTGTAAACAACCTTATCATGGGCAAGCGTTGGAAGGAATTAAGATATTTTATAGGGGAAATCACAAATTTATTGCAAATGTAATTGTTATAGTACCATTTTGTTTGGAGCTGAAAGGAATATAAGGTACTATTTTTTTTTTCAAAATCATTCTAGCCGTTTATGAAAGAATCAGATATTTCTGTTATTTGATGAGTTCTTATGTGGAAATAACCATTAAAAATCAAGATTTCTGAAATGAAAAAACTTGGAAAGCCTATAAAAAAGTACCCACATACAAAATCCATCAAAATTTTACCACAGGTGTGGTCTATAGCTCAGTGAAAACACACACACTCGCACCCCCGCACACACAGACATCACTTCGAAAACCACTTATTTGTGTTTGGGGGGGGGGGGGGGGCTGAAATGGACATTTCTACCCAAAACTCAAACTTGAAATATTTGACAAATACAATAGCTTCTCCATATACTAAGTATAGATGGAAGGGAATAAAAATCTGCACGTTTTAGTCAAGTATTACAAAATAAAGGTAAATATATACCCTAAAGTTTTATTTACGTAATATTATTGCTTTCTATATTCTATGTCATGTTTAATGTATATTGAAATGAGCAATGTGAAATCTTACGTATTCAGGGCTGTCTCGAACCATCCATTAATCAAGTCTCTATTATTGTCAACAAGATGGATTGATTGTTTGCTGCGTACATAATAGAAATTACACTATCCCTTTCAGTCATCATTCCGAGACATTATAAACTTATAGGCGTAGCTTTCAAGTAGCTTAAAAGTGTAAAGAATTGTTCAGACCCCATGAAACCTTTTCATGACTTTAATTGAAAATAATTTTATAACTATAAAAATATTTCAAATTTTGAAAATATAAAGATGGAAATGTAATGTCTTGGCTTTGCTAAAAACCAAGAATACTAGAACAGGCAAGGTATGCACCATATCTATAAACAAATGATGATACTGGCCCAAAAGTAAACATGATTAACATTGCTTAGATGGAACTGTCTAAAACATATGTTAATGGATTCGGGCTAGCAACGTCATTTGTTTATGTTTATGATCCATACAGGTTCTGTTCAAATATTCGTGGTAAACACTAACCACTTTTGGATACAAAACATACATTTCCGACTAAGTTTAGTTTACAAACAGTAAAAATATATGCCCTTTATAAGTCTTAGTTTTGGTTGGATCAGCAGTAATCCCTGTAAGAGATTTTATAAGTTAACTTTAATTTGGTTTTATTTCAGACACATTCAACCAAGTTCAACGCCAAACTCAATAAATGGCAGTTACTCATAGTGGTTGACAATTGTTTAATAATTTACACTATATTGTAAAATCCGTATAGAAACTATATAAAATGATTGGTATATACACTTTTAGTATGCTTTCAATGAAAATTGTCCAAAATTGTATTAACGTATTGTTTAAAGTATTTTTTTATGGTTATATATATATATTATTTTACTCACTTATCAAAACAACATTACAACTATTTTTCTGCAGTAGTTTGGTTGGTTATGAATATGCATTATTTCAGTTTAACATTTTGATTTTATTTCAATTACATATGCGATAGGATTGGTCATGCTAAATATTCATACAATGTAAATAAATATATTTTTCAATCTTTAATTTTTATTCACATATTTTTATGCACCTTTATAGATATTATTCATTAGAGATATTTTTGGGAAATTAATTAAAGGCATATGCGATGAGGACATATATTTTAGCAACATTTAATTAATAGCTTCTACTGTCTGGGATGCTTTCTTAGAAAACCAATTTCGCTCCTACGGAAATATGAATATTAATTATAATATAGACCTATTTTGATCTGAGGTCAAATTTGAATTGGGTATGTTAAACATAATTAAACCCAAAATTAATTTCGTAGAGAGTTTATTTCGTAGAACCCACCTGTCGAAGAGTTGGTTAGGGTGAACCCTTAAAACATTTGATTTAAATTACAGCCTTTAAATTACAATGGAAAAATGAGTTTCTATAATTTAAAAACACTAAAGTAGTTAAACAAACTGAACAATAGTGGAATATGTTATTGAAGTTTAAATTATAATGTTAGTAATTAATTGTACTTGTAAATATTACATTAGTTTCTCATTACAACTATCACTTATTTTCATCCGAGTACCCATGCGTTTTAACTACGACGGGTCAATGAGAGGTTTCAATGGCCAAACAAACCTTTCATCAAACAAAGGCACTATTGTACCAGGTAATAAAGGCCATTGTGGTTAATTTAGAGGACCTGTAAATGATGATTAAATTGCTATCATTATTGCAGAACACGTAATGTTTCATTATGGCTTTGTTAACATAACAATCAAATTGACGTTGTAATAATATATTTTTTTTAATGTCGAGAACTACTTAATGAAAATAAATACTTATAATGGTTTTATGAGAACGGAACTATTTTTAATTTTTCTTTCTATACACAGAAAGTATTGTTCAGTGAAAGTTACGAATGCTAAATAGGGAAACAAAAGTTTGAAAAGTCCTTTATCGAAAATGTTTAAAAGTACTTAAGGGTCCAAAGCTTACATCCAGCTAACTTCCGATTGCTACACTTAAATTAAATAAACATAATCATTTAAATAAAAACAAATCAGATTAAGATAAAATGTCGATAGGGAACTATTTACCCTTAAGAATAATGATTTGTGAAAAACATTATTTACTTTCCTATTTATATTGTATAAAAATGCTCGTTGTTTACAAAGATTGAATGCCTACTATTCTATCCTAAGTGTAAGCATAAAATAATATATCAATATCACGATAAATATATAACATAATATATACCAAGATATATATGTATATATCTGTATCTGCTTCTGTAAACAATTTTGAAATGCTTATTTTCGCTGTGTACGGTTGGCTTCACCGTAGGGAAATTCGCGATCTCAAATATTAATTCTGTAATAAATTCACCTAAATTCAAGTTAGGTTTGAATACCCCTATAAAAATATCTGACCAAATATGATAAAACAAAAATTAAAACGTGATCAAGTCTGATCCGATTATGGGGCATTTCCAGATCAAATATTTATCAAATAATGATCAGGTATGATTAAATAATTAATAAAATTGTTGTAGTGTCTTAGTTTAGTGACAGTTTGTAATCAGTTTTGATCTTTATGTGAATTACTTAGTATCTCTGGAACTTCAAGTGGAGACTGTTGTTCATCAATAAGGGTAGGGTTTTCAAGAATGCTTGTGATAATTATCAATAGAGGCCCACATAAATATGTCAAATTGTATAACTTAGGTCTCAGCCCTCTGTTTCCTTGAGATAAGGAGAGCACTTATCTGTTTAGTTGATCCTTAACTCTGTCAACCCTATCTATTTTATGAAGCTATATGTTAAAGCCTAACCCTACACTTTGACACTTCCTAGATGATACTTAACTTTGTTAATGGACAGTTCTCAAACTATTTTATTGGACATTTATTGATATTGCTAGAAGGTTCTAGAAGGAGGGCTGCGCCCCCACTTAGAGATCCATATTTAAGCTGGACTCTGGAGCAGAGCCGGCACTTCTCGGTCAGGACCTGCTACTGGAGGGTGTTCTCAGAGAGCCCGTCAGTGCAGCTATCAACTGTTTAGTCGTATTTTGTGACTTAGAACTATTTTGTATTTTTGGGACTTGTCATATTTTGAGTGAATTTCTGAATTGTAGTTTAAATCAATATAACGTGTTTTACTAGAAGCTCGGTTGATTTTAATCATTTAAATTCCCAAGCGAACCCCCACATTCGTGTTGTACCGGCAGCCACTCGACGGATACAACATAATAAATTTTCTGGTGTCAGGTGAGTGGGGTATGCGTAATTGTCGGTAATTGTCAGTCGATTCGATTGTCGTATTACGTGATCGGTTCGCGATACCGGCTACTACTTGGGACAACGAGACTTCTGGTGGAGCGCAACTACAGAGGACTTCGGACTTCGGACTTCTGACTCGACTCCAGGGCAGTCAAGGGTTCGACTCCAGGCCAGCACCAAGGACATCAAGGCAGGGACGAGCATCTCCGAGCATCTCAGGAGCCCGGACGACCCGTCACCACGCCGTGTTGCTGAGCAGTCCAGCAGTCTAAGGAGCATCACAGCGCAGAGCATCAGGCAGAGACAGAGTGTCGCAGTGCCCACACCGGACAGGCTACGGCTACGCTTCAATTTTTAAACGTAAGTGAATTGATTCATATATGTTAACATTTAACGGGAGCCATGTCTTGTGAAGGTTTAGAAAGAGAGTTAGATGAGATTTGCGATCAGGTTATTCAAGAAAATGCTAGTGAATCAAGTAGCGATGAATCTGGTAGTAATATTGTTGTAAGTAGCAATAAGCAAACTAAAAACATGTCCAAAAGTAAAGAAAGTAGTTTGAAATATTTGAGTCTAGATCAGGCGTCTAAATTCGTTCCAGAGTTTAATGGTAGGCGCGATGACTTGTGTAAGTTTGTTAGTTGCGGTGATTTTGCGATTTCCCATGTAGATAAATCGTATGTGCCATTGCTGTTAGAAATCATTAAAAATAAGCTTGTTGGTGATGCATATAACATCATTAGATTCAAGGAAATCGATTCGTGGGAACAATTAAAAGTAGCCCTGAAGGATAAATATGGGGATAAAAAGAACATTGCGCACCTGCAATTGGAAATGAGTAGTGCTAAGCAACAAAAGGATGAGGACGTCCGCGCATTTTCTGAACGATTAAATGCGATCCTGTCTAGTTTAGCGATTCAAATGACGGAGAACAAGCCGTACCAAGTAAAATCAGCTATTTACGATGTGTTGGAGCAACAAAGACATAATGCGTTCATTGAAGGTTTGCGACAACCGATAAAGTTTTTAATGAAAGCTAAAAATGTTCCTGTTTATGAAGATGCAGTAGAAGCCGCTGTACTTGAAGAGATAAATATCCTTAATGATCGTGAGAGTCAAGAATATTTCGGGATCAAGCCGAGAGACAACCAACGTAGGGACTCGAGAGTAAAATGTAACAACTGTGGGAAAGTAGGGCACGAAGTCCAGAACTGTTATTTCAAGAAAACATCGTTCAACAGAGAGAAGTTTCATAGGAATAACCTTGTTAAGAAGGATAGGCCCGAGCATCACGTGAAGGCAATTGTGACGTGTCACTATTGTGGTAAAGAGGGACACGTAATAGCTAAATGCTTTAAGCGTCAAAATGATATTAGTAAGAAACCGCATCCGGAACGGAAGCCCTTTCAAAGGTTCGACAGACAGCAGGGAAACCAGCGACACTCGGAGACAAGCGGTCCGTCAACGAGTGCCAAACAGTTCAAGTAGGCCGCGTTGATGATGGGAAGAACCACGAATGCGTAGAAATGGAACTTTCAGAAACAACGAGTAAATCTGTTTCATTATTATTGGACACAGGAGCTGACATTAGCATTATCAAATTAAATCAATTGGATGACGAAGCCCAAATCTTAGATAATACTTCAAAATTAATCACAGGAATTTCAGACGATCCAGTTAAGACAATAGGAACTGTAAATCTAGATGTAAAATTAATTGACAAAGTAATAACACATCCATTTCAAGTGGTGTACGACAATTTCCCGCTAAAAAGTGATGGTGTTTTAGGAAGAGACTTCCTAAGCAAGTATAAAGCTAATATCGATTATGACAGAGAATTAATGCAGATTAGCACTACAAAGTGGAAGCTAGTACCCTATGTAAATAAAATAAAATTAGCGCCAAGAAGTGAAAATGTTTTGTTTGTTAAAACCAAAAATGAAGGTGAAGGTGTAGTGGAAGGCTATGAAATAAAAGAGGGAGTATTTTTAGGTAACAGCCTTACAGAAGCCAAGGAAGGCAAATGTATTGTCTCGATTACGAACACTACCGAGGAAGCAGTAGAGATAGAGACTCCGTGCGTACAACTATGCACTTTAGAAGACATTGTAAATAATGAAGATTGTGTAAAAATGTTTAAAGCAAGTAGCAATGAAGCCAATGTACATATTGATAGACAAAAGGAAGTAGTTAAGCAGTTAAGGACTGAGCATCTTAACCAAGAAGAAAGAAAATCTTTGATTGAGATTTGTACAAACTATAATGATCTATTTTATTTGCCAGGTGATACATTAACCTGTACAACAACTGTGGAACATACGATTCCCCTTAAACAAGATACTGCCCCAATCAATATAAAACCGTATAGGATTCCAGAGCAGCACAAGAAAGAAGTACAAAAACAAATTGACTCGATGTTGGAACAAGGAATAATTGAAAAAAGTCAAAGTCCTTGGAATGCACCTTTGTTAGTGGTTCCAAAGAAAATGGATGCTTCAGGGCAAGTTAAATGGAGAATTTGCATAGACTTCCGTAAACTAAATGAGGCAACAATTGGAAACTCGTTTCCGTTACCCAACATTACAGACATATTAGATCAGCTAGGCAAAAGTAAATATTTTACAACATTGGATTTAGCAAGTGGATTTCATCAAATTAAAATGAGTGAAGCTGACAAGGACAAAACTGCATTCAGTACCCCTTATGGACATTATAACTACAAGAGGATGCCATTTGGATTAAAATCCGCACCAGCGTGTTTTCAGCAACTAATGAACACGGTACTAACAGGGATTCAAGGAATCAAATGTTTTGTCTACTTGGATGATATTGTAGTTTATGCACCTAACCTCAAGGAGCATCAGGACAAACTAAGAGAAGTGTTTGACAGGTTAAGGCAACACAATTTAAAGCTTAACGCTGACAAATGCGAATTTCTGCGTAAGGAAGTCAGTTATTTAGGACATAAAATAACTGATGATGGTTTGGCTCCTGATCCAAAGAAGACAGAAGCTATTGAGAAATATCCAAGACCGAAGAATGCAAAAGACATAAAATCTTTCTTAGGACTTGTAGGATACTACAGAAGATTTATCAAGGATTTTAGCAAGATTGCACAACCACTTAATAATTTGCTAAAGAAGGATGTAGAATTTAAATGGACGGATGAAGAAGAAATGAGTTTTAACACACTTAAAAGTAAATTAGTTACATCACCTTTGTTGCAATATCCAGATTTTGATAAGGAGTTCATTATTACCACAGATGCAAGCAACGTTGCACTAGGAGCGATATTATCGCAAGGTAAAATAGGTGAAGACAAACCCATTGCATATGCAAGCCGTACTTTGAACAAAGCAGAAAAGTCATATTCTACAACAGAGAAGGAATTAACTGCAATTGTTTGGGCAGTTAAATATTTCAGACCTTACATTTATGGAACAAAATTCACATTAGTGACTGATCATAAACCCTTACAATGGTTATTTAACATCAAGGATCCAGGATCAAGATTAATGCGATGGATCATCAAACTAATGGAGTACGATTTTACAATTGTGCACAAAAGTGGAAAGAAGAATGTGAATGCAGATGCACTCAGCAGGGTAGAAATTAATTTAGCACAAACCATCAAGAAAGAAGAATTAAGTGAAGAAGACAAAAAGGAGATTATTAGGGAGTATCATGACGCAACATTAGGAGGTCATCAAGGAGTCACTCGTACTTATAACAGGATGAAGCTGAAGTATGATTGGCCAAATTTAAGGAACGACATTGAAGAATACATCAAGAAGTGTGACAGTTGTCAGAAGAATAAAACTCTTGTGAAGGATACTAGGAAGGCTCCAATGCAAATTTCAACTGAATTGTCAAAACCAATGGAACAATGTGCCATAGATATTGTTGGACCGTTACCTGTTACAGCAGAAGGCAACAAGTATATTTTAACATTCCAAGATTGTTTTTCAAAATACGCAGAAGCAATTCCAATTAAGGATCAAACAGCAGACACAGTAGCAAGAGAATTTACAACTAAAATCATTTGTCGTCACGGTACGCCAGATAGGTTATTGTCTGACAACGGAACCAATTTTGTCGGTGAAGTGATGTCTTCAGTTTGCAAGTTACTAAAAATTAAAAGAATTCAGACGACTAGTTATCACCCCCAGGCTAATGGATCATTGGAAAGAAGCCACAGATCTCTAGCAGAGTATTTAAGACACTACATTGATGAAGATCAGTTAAATTGGGACTTATGGTTACCATATGCTATGTTTACTTTCAACACAACAGTACATACGTCTACAGGTCATACGCCTTTTTCATTAATTCATGGCAGGGAAGCACAATTACCCTCAAGTATTGTTAGGACAAAACCAGAACCTCAGTATAATTATGATGATTATGCAGAAGAATTAAAGAAAAGATTACAAAGTACATTCCAATTGGCAAAAGATACTTTAAAAATGAAAAAGGAAAAAAGTAAAACATTTTACGACAAAGCCACAGTAAAGAAAGAATTCAACGTTGGAGACAAGGTGTTGCTGCACGACGAGACGCTGCGTAGAGGAAGATCGAAGAAACTAAGTCCACAGTGGGTAGGACCTTACCTAGTGGTGAAAAGAGACTCAGATGTTAATTATATAATAAAAAGAGGTAAAAAGCTTTTTAAAGTCCACATAAACAGATTGAAAAAATACCACGACTAAATGTAACTTTTATGTTACAGATGGTCTGGCTATTCCTACTATTATTTGCCACGCTTGCAAGAACTCAAAACAAGAATGAAGGAACAGAAGATTATTTCAAGAATCAAGCAGTAAATTATAATCCAGGAGTGTTTTTCGAGAAAGTGGGAACAGTACAGCTTAGCAATGAAAATTGGAGACTGATAACCTACATTGATATAAATATGTACAATTCAAGATTGGAATACTCAAAACTAAGATTCAACCGTCTCAAGAAATTCTGCTCAAGAGAATATTCAGATTATTGTCAGAAAGTAGTAATCAGCATGCAACGCACAATGGACAACATAAAGGATAGAGTCAGGGAACTGCAGATTCAACTTGGCAAGAAAGAAACAAGAAGAATCCGAGTAAGAAGAGGAATGTTTGACACGGTTGGAGAAGCTGCTAAAATATTATTTGGAACAATGGATCATGATGATGCAATGTACTACACAGATAAAATTAAAGAAGTCACCTACAACCAATACGAGCTATCCAAATTGGAGAAGGAACAAGCAGCAGTCATGATTTCTACAATTAAAACAATGAATAAAACTGTCAATGATGTTAATGCAAACCAGGAAGCCATTATTAAAGCTTTTGATGAAATTGTAAATGTTCAAAATTT